CTGCTGACTGTTGAGCCACATGGCCTTGGTGATGGCGGTCGGTTTTGTGCCCCCATACCTTCTGCCATCGAATCTTTCAGCAATAAATGTACGATCCAGGATCGGTTTGCTGGTGTTATTCTTTCCCTCAGTCACTTTGCGTTACTGATAATTGCTGGCGATTGAGCAACCCCGCTGATTTTGATTACGAGCACTGCACATGGTGAATCATATGGTATTAATATTCCAAATTGAACGATGGGACGCACCCGAGGGCATATTATGGGCAATAGATATTCGCTCCGTGGGCTTCGCTTACTTTACTATTGTTCCCACAGAGACCGAGGCCAAGAGCCGTACAATATCAATTTGTTTACTTCTCAGTTGGAGAGTATGCGTGTAAGTGTGTGTGTGTGTGTGCATAAATGGAAATTAATTGTTATTGTTTTATGATTATTTCTGTTGGAATGCGCTCTTCTTCCACTTTCACGGAATGCTGTAGTAACTGCACAACAATGATTTGCCGCAATCTGTCAGCGCTTCTTCAGCGCATGCGCGAAAGCAAACAGAAATGAGAATAACGAGAAATGGAGTTGTTTTATGAAAGCCGAAGACTATACACCCTTGAAGTTCACTAAGGCACTCTTGAGGTAAACATCGTTTTTTATTCTAATTCGAAATCGAATTAATCGATAATCCGATTAAAATTAAATATAATATAACACGAGTTTTTTTTGTAGCTCCTTCGACGTTTTGGATGTAATTATAATAAAAATAATGTGTTTAGGTAACTAACCTGGTAAGACAATTTAAATGTTTCTTTTCTATTCAATATTTCCGATTGAATAACTTAAATCAGATATATTAAACCTATTAAAGGGTGTAAGAGCGAGAGGCAAACAATGTATGGCGCGCAACGTGAGGAATTCAAATTGCTGAATGTGTTACCGAGTAGTAGTGACATCAGGAGAGCGGGCTTAATCGAACCCCCATATCCAGAGGGATCAGTGGACTTGCAGAACTTGAACAACATCTTGGAACCGTGGTTTGATAAGAACTAAATTGCTCGAACGTGCTGTGTTCTTAGGTACGATTTTCGATAGGCTTTGCTGATTTGATTAGACTTTGATTAGGAGTTGTAAAGTTTTCTTGATAATTATGGTTAACTTTTAATCTCTTAAGTGGAAATAGTATTAAACAACATGTGGCAAACTTTTTTATATTATGCAAATAACACACAAGTTTACAAAATTATAATAAAAAAGAATGTTATTATTTGACAAAAAAGTTTTATAGTTCAACCTATCTAACATTTACTACATTTAATCATAGTACGTTATTACAAATAAAATAAGCAATAATACGAACAATAATAATAATAACAACAATGAAGTTAAAGTTATAAGTAATGTACAAAAGCGAACACAAAACCGTTAAATAATGCATAGATAAATGGTCTATTCATAAAACAGCTGATTTAGTCATCGATAACACAGAGTTTTAGTTCTGTTAAGTTTACAAAGCTGAACTGTTAACTGCTTTCGAACTGTTAACGAGCTCGAAATTTCACAAAACGACCCTGCCTCTTTTACACGGCATGATCTCACAATGTTTAAATTTGTTTCGAGCTAACTGGAATTTGCTTTAACATTTAAAGAAATGTGGCGCGCATTTTAAATGTTGCTGTTAATGTCGATATATCTTATAATTTTTAAGTCATTATAAAATCAAACTAAATAGATTTATTTTTATATAAATTTGAGAAAAAAGAATTCCAACAAATTTAAGGTGTTCACGTTAACATAACTTTAATTTAATTTAAATTGTACGTCTTTTCACTCTGAGTATTATTAAAAAATCAATGATTTCAGCATTAAATGTTCTCAAAAATGCACAATTAAGAAAAACATTTAATTTATTCTTTACTGTTTGCTTTAAATTCTTAATTTTACTTAGCTTTTTACATAAATCGACAAAAATTGGCGATAGTGTGACCGCAGTTTAGTCATTTGATTATACCAAACTTTCGAGTCAGCCCGCGAACTTAAAATTCGTTCCTCTCCAGCTGCCAATCCCCGCCCGAGAGAAACACCTACTGTTTCTCATTCGAAAGAAGCACATATATTTGCGCAAGTCGCGGCAAAGTGCCGCTGTTTGCTCTTGCTGGCGAGCCGCCGCTTCTATCGTTTTCTCGCTCTCGAACCGTTCGGACGTGTCGCTCTCCGTGCGAGGGCGTGTGTGTGCGAATAAAAATATCGAGGAAAAAGCTCGCACGTGCGACGCTTGCAAAAAAAAAAAGAAATATAAGTAATACATAGATATATTGCGAGGAGAGGGGCCCTGCAGGCCAGAATCCAAATAAATATTCAATAACGAGTGCAAAAATAATTTGCAAGCGCAAAAAAAGATTTATAAATAGTGCAACAACAACAACAACAACGGCAGCGGCAGCAACAAATAAAAGAATTTGTCAGGCGGCGTTTGTTTTTGTTCTCCCCTCTCTCTTTCTCTCGCGCGCCCGCTCTCTGTCGCACTCGCTGTCTGCTCTTCTCCTTCTCCGTCTCTGTCTGCCGGCCTTCGTCGCGTGTGTGCGTGTGTCTCCGCGTATCCGTGTGCCTGTTTTGCACGTGTGTGTGTGTGTGTCGTCTGTGCAGCGCAAAGATAAAAAAGTTGAGAAATTGAGATATACGAAATGAAATACAAAAATTCAGCTTAAGAAATTGCGCCGAAGAGAAATTAATTTATGGCGAAAATTTAATAATAAGTGCAGGGCACAGGAAAAGTGCGCACAAATCTTGTATATATATTACAGCCGACAAAAGCCGGCCGATCTATATATATATATATATATATATCTTTATATGTATTTTCTATAAATACAACTGAAATAATATCGAAATATTCTAAACACGCGACAAAAAAGTAAGGCAAGTAAGCCAAGATAAATCCTGTGCATGTGTTTGTGGGCAAGCCAAAATGCCGTCGGCAAAATGCTAAATGCTAAATGCAAAATAAATTAGTTAAACTAGCTGACAAAATCAACAAAAAACCAATCAACAAATGTGCCAAATTGTTAAGTGAGAAGTTTAGACAGAAAAGTGGAAATAAAGGTCACCTTTAGAGGGTTAAGCAAATCATCTTCGTGAAAATGTTGCATCCCTAAAGGATAGTTAATCACGCAGATCACGAAACTATATCCGAATATATCGTTTAAAAGTCTAGAAGGCCTCGACATTATCAAAATGGATTTCTAGTACAGCCAATCGGAATTTGGTTAGTCTAAAGTATCGCCGACAAAATGACCGAATACGTAACGTCCATGATCAGCACCGTCTTGAAGAAATACCAGACGAGTGCCACGAAATCGCTGCAGGGACCAGGACACGCACTAACAACCGCCGGTGTCCTGGACATTGCCACCAATGGACGAAGTGAGAGTCCTGGCCTGGGCCTGTCCAATGGAAAGTGTCAGGCATCTCCGCCAGGTGTTGCTCTTATAAAAAAGGAAATACTCAGTTCACCGGAACCCCAGGAACTCCATCACCATGAGTGCTCTTCGCGGGGCACGCCACCACAGATATATCCACCTGCCACACCGCCACGGGAACTCTCACAACCCATCCTATCGGTAGCGGATTCGGGATGTGGAGAACTTTATGAGACAAAATTGGAGGACAAGACCATTGGATGCTTTTCCGTGGGCGGGGAAATGAGACTTTGTCTGCCCCAATTTCTCAACAATGTCCTCAATGACTTCTCCCTCGAGCAGATCAACAGGATCTTCGATGAACTGGGCATATACTGCTCGCAGTGCACGCCCGACCAGCTGGTAGAGTTCAAGGCCGCCAAGATCCTGCCTTCGGATGTGAAAGCCAGTGGCCTGATCACCAGAACCGATGCCGAGCGCCTCTGTGCAGCGCTGCTCCATCGTTCGGATCGGAATAGCTATGTGCCGATCGAGAGTTTGGCCAAGGGAGCCCTGAGCTTCCATGTGTATCACAAGTGCTTCGGCAAGTGCGAGGGCATCTGCACTCCGGACATGTACTCGTATCAGAAACCGACTTGCATCAAGTGCCTCGAGTGCGACGGCTGGTTCTCGCCACAGAAGTTCGTGGGTCATGTCCATCGGAAGTTCGAGAACCAGACCTGCCACTGGGGCTTCGATTCGCGCAACTGGCATGACTATCTTCATGTGGCGTTGGATGTGGAGAATCGCGAGAAGTACCAGATCGTCCTGGATGAGCTGAAGGAGGTGGAGCTGAAGGAGATGCAAAAGGCCCAACGGGAATTGGATCACAAAAAACGAAAGGTGAGTTTGGAGTTTAAGTTTTTTAAGCTTTCAAAATTACACTAAAAATGTGTTTCCCCTTCTTCAGCGCTTATTAAAAATTAACTAAATTAACTATTATTATTGGGAATATAATTTTCACCTTGTTGAGCAGGTCAACAATTTCCCAGACCGCTGGGGGATTATTATTAAGTTGATAATCTTCCCGGCTTTCGTTCGCTCAATTATTTCTTTCCCCTAATTTTTTTGAACACACAAGTTTCCCCCTCCCCTCCCCTCCCTGAACTTAATTTTAATTATGCATAAAAAACGAACGCCCCACGCGAGCAAGCGGCTACTGCGGCTCCATATTTGGACTTCCATTCACATTCAATTCGAACTTCTTTAACGACACTACTTTGTGTTTGCCGTTGAAAAAGACATAAAAAGTACAAAAACGCAAACGCACAGAATAATATAATCTAAATATATATATTTTACTATATATATTAATTATATATATATATATATATATTATACTATATATATATATATATGAAAACAAATTTCACCGCTAGCCATTTATAATGAATTCATAATAATTATAATTCCAATGCAGCTGCAATTTATGGCGCTGTTTTTGTTGGCCGCCGTCGGGGTGTTAAACATTTTTTTTCGGCTAGGCCATCTTTTTTTCCATCTGATTATTTATTTAAACTACTTAATTTTATGCTTAAACAGCGCTCGCTAAATATTTCCCCGCAAGAACGACGAACCAAAAAAAAACACAATAAATAATACATTTTTCCGCTGCAGAATTTTTGGCTCTTTTTTTGTTGTTATTTTTTTGGAAATGGTTGTTGTTTTGGAGTTTGTTGTAGCTGCCGCTGCATTTTGCGGTTGCCAAAGCGTCTGCCGCATTTCGGCATGTTTGCCGCCGAGGCAGCGCATCAGCCGTGGCAGCGAATGTTGGAGCTTATTTTTAGCTTTTCGCTCAATTTATTTGCTGCCCCGTCTGCGCCTGGTTTTGTTTGAAGCCTGCGGACAAAAGGCTCTCGATTTAGCTGTCGCTGTGCGGGGTATACCCTGTACGGGGTGTACTGGGATGAGGGAAAAGTTGAAGGAAGATTAACTAGCTGAAATACTGATTGAATATTTGAATTCCATGAAAAGAATCTTAAGAAAACTGTTTAAATTTTATTGAAAATTGTGGAATAAACTCTCTTTCTTTCTAATACATCTGTTTAGAGATTCTTGATCTAGATTTCTACTTGTATTATTATTCTTTTATATAATATTTAATGGCTACATTTGCCTTTTAATATATCACGCTTCATGGCTTTAGATGCACTCAAACTAAAATGATCTCAGTAATAGCTAATTTAGTTTAGTTTGAAAACAAAACCAGTAGCGATGCTAATTGAGTTTGGAATCTATACAAAATGATTATAAAAGATTAATTTTTGAACTAAGACTAATACTATTTATTATTCCATAACTTAAAACGCAAAAGTAAAAAGCTGACAGTCATGAGTTAATGACCAGTTAAGTATAGTATTAATTATATTATAAAGTTTCCCATTAAGCTGAAACTTATTCTATTAAAAACAAAAAATATTTTTAATCATTTCTTCTAAGTTCCTACCTAATATGTTATCCATTTTTCTTATTTTCTTTTCATTTTTTATTAAAAAAAAACACTTTCCGACATACCTCTTTCAAAAGTCTCCTTCAAAGGCTAAGTCCTTTCCCCATTCCAGGGTATGTTGGGCTTCGGAACCCCTGCATTATTTCCTTTTATTTATTTTCATTCTGCGCTGAAACTGGTGTGTGTGTGTGTTTGTGCCATGAAAATCCGCTTCGACCAGCTTCAATGTTAAATATTCAGCAAATAATAATAATGAGCCAGTGCGAGCGGGATGGGCTGATAGGGCGGTGGAGGGACTGTTGCGACGGGGGGGTAGCAACAAAAATAAATCGCAAACCGGTTGCCAACATTGTCTGCTCCGAAGTCTCTGTACTTTGGCTCTGGTCTGGGCCCTCGTCTCGTTATGGGGATGTGGATGTGTGTTTTCCGTCTGACGGAGTGGGGGATCCAATCGGATCGCATCTGAGCGGAGCCCATGGAATCCCTGGAGCGGGCTTGGAAGCGGGAAACTGAAGTCAAAGTCGCAGAAATAACAAAACAAACGACTTGCGGCACATTTGTTGCGCAAAAAGACAAAAAAAGAAAATATAAAAAATAAGAGGAATTGAAAAGGGAGATTAAAAAGAGAACAGAACAACTTTTTTTTGTAAAGAAAAATAACAATAAATTAACAAGGGATTAGGTGGGTGAGAAAGAATGTTATTTACTTTTTTATATACAAAATCTAAGTCGATACTTGACCTCGTCCAAAAAGCTTAGCAATATTAAGAAAAAAAGAAAATAAAAACCTTTTTTATTATAAACTAAAACTATTTCCCATAGTAATCTTAAACATTTTTTAGGCATGATTTGGATTCCAAATAAAAAAACATAAATTTAAAAAGAAGACTCAAAAAACAAAAAAACGAAAACTTAATCAAGCTGGCGCCAGAATAAAACCTTACAAATTAATTTTCAAATCCGATTTTTAACATTTTCTCACCTTTTTTAGCCATGACTAATCCAACTTGAATCTCTCAACTTTCACTGTTAACCCTCCCTCCCCTCATCTTTACCTTATATAATCAAAGTTCCATTTTGGACTTTGTTATTGAGTTCAAGAATTTAAATTTTGAGTCGCAAATTTTTGGGATTTCATGTTTTGAAATCAAGCTGTTTATTATGAAGGCGCCAACAGGTTTATGTTTTTGTTTTTTTTTTTCTTTTTTTTCAGTTCGTAACTGTTTTTGTTTTTTTTGGGTTTTGCGTTGCTCGCTTATCGCTCATAAAATTTTCAAATTTATGCTAATCTCTTTTATTAAACATTTTGGGTTGGCCGTTGTCATTCATCGTGTTTTTCTGGTTGTTCAAAAACGAAACACAGCACGTTTCTGAACGGCAAGAGCAAAATCAACAAACAATTTTTGAGAAAAAGCTCCTAGTTATTTTTTTTTGGCCTTATCAATATTCTTTTGGGCCCACTGATAAGCTTGCTGCTCTGTTGGCCACGTTTTTGCAAAATCCAAAATCGAGTCAGGGTTTTCATTTATTTTCCCCCCATCTAGCTGCTAAGATTAAGTTGAGTTCCCCTAGTGATAAGAAATGGCTTATGGTTTATGCGTTCATGTCGCCGCCTTTGTTTTACGAGGCGTATAAATATTTTTTATGAACGCGTATACGCCATGTGGGGCTGCCATGAAATGCGAATAAAACTTAAATTAATTTGCTGGCCATTTGAAATTGGAATTCCAAACAGATCTGTGTCTTTTATGTCATCTGCTAATTGATAAATCATGGAGAATGTGCCGAGAGAAATGGAAAAATCTGGAATGAATAGCATTTGATGAGGTGCTGTTGGCAGAAGGAGATTACACAAGATTATGTGGGTTGTTTGTATAATTAATCATGAGAACTTTGAGAATAAAAGTCTTTACTTTAAAGCATGTTCATTAATAGTTATAAATTTTACATAACAAATAGTTTAATCTGCTTAAAATTAAGCCCTGAAAAGGTTTCTTTTAAAATTGAGACTGCAAAATTTTTATATTTTTCTACAACATAAGGTTGGCCTTTGCTTAGGAATATTATATATAAATTTTATTAAATTTATTACTTAACAAGTCTCATTTCTTATAGTCCTTATCAGGACTAACATATCCTGCCTTATGTTAGTCATTTCCCTAACATGCAAATCCCTGCTCATCCGATGATCTCAACTAATTGCATCTTAAATAAGACGGACAAAAAGTGCAGCGACTTAGCCTGATGGATCTGTCTTATCTCACTCCCTGTACAATATATTACCCCGCAGGGCTTTCGGGCATTTCCAGTCTCAGTTTTCCCTCCCCTTCTTACCCCTTTTACCATACCTTTCCCTACTGCCAGCTGTCAGTTGGCGATTTGATAAGCGCGATAAGCAAAGAGCGATCTTTTTCAGAGCCCTCTCATCCCCACCAGCCGGACAGCCCTGTCCGCTCCCCTGCCCTGCTGCTGCCCCCTCTCTGTTAGCATTAGATTGGACTGTGGGCAGGTCTCCAGACCGAACTTTTCCCAACCCACCCAACTTGTCATGTGATGTTCGCTTGTTCTTTCGCTCTGCTGATCTCTTCTGCTCTCCTTGCTGTTTTTTCATTCTGTGTTTTTTTTTTTTTTTTTTTTTGCTTTATTATTATTAGCAAAAACTTAAGACACACGACAAGGCAAGAGAAGAAAAAAGCAGTGAGACAGTGAGTGCTGGATAAGAAGTATTGTTAATATTCAGAAATTTATTTAAATTTAATAAAATTAATTAACTTATATAATAGCTGTAAGGCATACAGTAAAAGTTCTAATAACGACGAAGAACTCTTAACTTAACAGGGTTAAGAAATTATAATATTTTTGTTAAGCATTTCTAAAAATATTTCATATTTCAAAAATTTAAATATTTAAAAAAAATTTTTTTTTTTTAATATTTCAATTTTCTTAGTTAGGCAATGACTACTGTACAAGTTTTACCATATTGCAGAAGGTGCGGCCTTCTAGTTGCGATTTGGGAAGTGAAGGATGCTCAGAGGAGTAAGTGGTGGAAGAGGAGTAAGAGGAGGGGGGGCTCTGGTTATTCGTTAGTGGGGAAGGTGTATTCTCTGCTCTGTACATCGTTTTGCTTTTTTGCATACATTTATCGGCGCCGTTCTTGTTCTCCTTGTTGTTGTTACTAGAGTAGTAGTTGTTGTTGTTGTTGTTTTGGTTGTTTTCCCTGCAAATGTTGTTGTTTTTGGTGCCTGAGAGACAGGTGTGTGCCGCCTTCGCCTGTCCCGCTCTAAAGTCTTCTTTTTTATAAGCAACCTTCTTTTTTTTCTAAATGCGTTGTTGTCTATCGCTGATCTTACATCTAAATAGGCTGACGTCGTCGTCGTCGTCGTCGTCGTAGTCG